GTAGCTTGTTTATGATATAAGTGAGGGAGAGATGCTTGCTACAAGCCGCAGCTGCTGCCCTTCCTGTTGCTTTTTGCTGTTTTCTGCTTCCATGAATGGCTGCCTCTGCCAGCCAAGTATAGACTGAAACTGCCACAAACCATGAGCTAAATAAACCTTTGCTTCCTTAATTTTGGGTATCGGGTATTTTGTCCCAGCAACGAGTAGAAAGTAACTGAGACAGCTGCTATGAATGTGGTGTACTTAATTCTTTCCGGAGCTACCTGGAAGGGGAAGAACTGAGTGAATGGAATTTCTAGTTACAGTTTTTGAGAAGTCTCCATGCTGATTTGCATTGTGGGTGTACACACAAAGAATGTAGAATGGTTCTTTTCTCCTCAGAGCCCTGCCAGGCTTTATTATTATTTGATTTTTTTTTTTTTTGGCAGAATCGGGGATTGAACTCAGGCCCTTGCACTTGCCAGGGAAGCACTTATTCCACTGAGCCATCTCCCCAGCCTATTTGATATTTTTTTTGTGGAGGCCATTCTTCCTGGGGGTAAGATGAAACCTCTGGGGTGGTTTTCTTTGTTTTTGCTTTTTTTGTTTGTTTGTTTGTTTTTGTCTTTTTGATACAGGGTCTCACTATGCAGTTCAGTTTGACCTTGAACTCACTTTGTAGCCCAGGCTGGCCTCAAACTCACTCATGGGGATCCTCCTACCTCAGTCTCCCAAGTGCTGGGATTACAGGAATGTACCTGTAATCAAGTCTTTGATCATTTTTATTTTACTTTAATATATGGTAAAAGATATGAGTCTAAATTCAGTCTTCTGCATATGTGTATCTGATTTCCCAGCAGACTTATTATTTTTTATTTATTTATTTTTGTAGTCAGGGTCTTGCTGTATAGTTCAGGGTGGCCTCAAACTCATGCCAATGCTCTTACCTCAGCCTCCCGAGTGCTAGGATTGCAGGTGTGCACCACCACGGCTGGTATTTATTTATTTATTTGGTACAGGGTCTGTATTAGTTACTCTTTTATTGCTAGGACAAATACCCAACACTCAAAATGAGAGAAGGAAAGGTTTATTTAGCTGTCAGTTACTGGAGGTTTCAAGACACTGGAGGAGAGGCTGGGGCGCTGCCATGTCCACGATGACCATCTCCACATTCCTGAGAAAGCACAGGCTAGCCACTTTAATGGTTCTCGTCTCTCTAGCCCCATCTCTCATGCCCCACCCTGGTCCACTGGCCCCACCCCTCAAGTCACTCTCTGCTCCTCCAGCCTCATCTGCCCCATAACTTACATGAGGCTTCCGGGGACAACCAGACACAAACCATAATAGGGTCTCACTATGCAGCTTGGACTTGTAGTGATCTTTCTGTCTCAGCTCCCCCAACACTGTGATTACAGGTGTGTACCACACCCAGGGTTCTGGGGTCTGCATAGCATGTGGTATTGGGGATTGAACCCAGGTCCTTGTGCTTGCCAGGCAGGTGCTTAGACCACCAATCTATCTCCCGAGCCCCTGGTAGACTTATTAATATCAATCAAATATAACCAGAAATCAGAAGACCTAGCTTTTTATCCAGACTGTTAAGTGTAAGAACTTGACTTTCTCTGTCCCCAACACTTAACAAAGTCTGCCATTTTCAGTGTGTGGACTGAGCCTTAGTTTCTCCATGTATAAATGGAAATGAAGGGGCTGGTGAGATGGCTCGGTGGTCTAAAGCACCTACTTAGAAAAGCTTAGCAAAGCACAAGGACCGCAGTTCAATCCCCCAGCACCACATGCCAGCCAGCCCCGCCCCCTGGTGGGCTGAGCTGGCCACACACACACACACACACACACACACACAAATAAACAAAATTTTTTTAAAATGGGAATGAAAACACAAGTATGCAATAAAGTGTGTTGTAAGGCTTATATGTATATAGCAGTTTAAACTGCCTGGCAAGGGGCAAATACCATGTCAGCATTAGCTATTAAATGTAATACCTCAGCCAAGGATCTAGCTCAGTGGCACAAGTGCCTGCCTGACAAACCCAAGGTCCTAAGTTTGATTCCCAGTACCCCCCCCCATGCAATTCTTGTCTAATATATAAAATGGTGTATAACACTCTGAAGTGTTAGTGTTATTTTCTCATCTTGTCCTTGGAAGTCCTCAATAATTAATTGGGGGGGAAGAAATGTCACTTATTGACTGTGAGAACTTCAGCAGGTTCTCAAGTGCCTTCATTTACTCATCTACAAAATGGGGATAATAATGAGAATGAGGGGCATCTGACTCTGCTTTTCTTGACTCTGCTTTTCTTGTCTCACCAGAGGTGGGTGAATTTTGGCTAAGGGTTGTCATGTTCCTCTTCCTCATGTCCCTTCACCCCCCCCCTTGCTGTTTTCCCACAATGGACTGGACAACTTGCTTCAGTATCTTCCTGGCTCCTTGGTAGCTACTCTCCTCCAGAGCTGTGACAGCTAAGCCAGAATTCTGCCCCCCTCTTTGATGAAGGGGAAAGAAGAATCAGCCCAACATAGCTAAGATCAAAGGCAGCAGGACCCAGGTTTATTTTTAACACCCCAATCTCCCCTTACCCCAGTTAGCTACGATAAACACATCTAGTCCTCCCAAAGATTTCCTGGTTTCAGATTCATCCATTTTTTTCCCCAGAGAGGAAACAACTGTCAATCACATGGTTCAGTTGCTGCCTTCTTTTTTTTTTGTGGTGTCGGGTATTGAACTCAGGACCTTGCACTTGCCAGGCAAGTGCTTATTCTGCTGAGCTATCTCCCTTGTCCCTGAGTTGTTTATTGTTTGACTGAATCACAGCCTTGATAGCTGGGGCCTTCCAGAGCCCTACATTCATTTGAACCAATCATTGGTCTCCACTTAGACCAATCAGCAAGCCCAAGTTTGAGCCAGTCACAGGCTTATGTACAGACCTAGCACAGGCTTATGGGGGCTATATAAACAAGTCTTCACCCTCCTGTGTGCTGACCCCTCTGTGCTCCTGCACAGGACCTGTCAAAATAAAGACTCCCTCTGGTGTCCCATAAAAATACCTGTGATAGGGCTGGTGAGATGGGGGGCTGGTGAGATGGCTCAGTGGTCTAAAGCACCTACTTAGAACAAGCTCAGCAAAGCACAGGGACCACGGTTCAATCCCCCAGCACCACATGCCAGTCAGCCCCGCCCCCTGGTGGGCTGAGCTGGCCACACACACACACACACACACACACACACACACATAAATAAAAATAAATTAATTTTAAAAAATACCTGTGATATATATTTTTTTAATATTTATTTATTTGTGTGTGTGTGTGTGTGGCCAGCTCAGCCCACCAGGGGGTGGGGCTGGCTGGCATGTGGTGCTGGGGGATTGAACCGTGGTCCCTGTGCATTGCTTGTTCTAAGTAGGTGCTTTGGACCACTGAGCCATCTCACCAGCCCGACCTGTGATATATTTATTGGGTAGTTTGGCCTGTAGCGTGAACAGAACAATTAGTTATTAAAAGAAAAAAACCATTAAACACAAGGCACTGTTAGCTCTGAAAAGCTCCAGAATGGCAGGCACTGAAGATCAGGGCTGGCTCTGGCCTCCAACACACAGAAAATTTTTCTGGTTCTGAGAGATCAGTCTCTCACTTTGTCAACTAACACCTGTGACATTATTTGGCATCCTCAGGTGGCATCAAGGGTACTAGCTGAGCTATACTTTTACTGATTTATGATTTCTATTTAATACAGCAAAAGAACCCTGAACTGATCGTCAGCAAAAATTTATTTGCTCAGCACTTACTTTCTCCCTGAGATACAGAGAAGCGTGACAAGATTTGTGCTCTTGGGTACAAAAGCACCCAGAATAAGCCATAGCCTTGGAGCTGGTCTTCAAGTCCACAAGCAATGACCCCTACCAATTTTTCAGGTGGTCCATGTAATAAACAAATAAATAATTTTTTTTAGAATATCTGACATTTTGGGGGCTGGTGAGATGGCTCAGTGGTCTAAAGCACCTACTTAGAACAAGCTCAGCAAAGCACAGGGACCACGGTTCAATCCCCCAGCACCACATGCCAGTCAGCCCCGCCCCCTGGTGGGCTGAGCTGGCCACACACACACACACACACACACACACAAATAAATAAAAATTAAAAAAAAAAGAACATCTGACATTTTTAATCCTTTATTCACAGGTTACTAGATCATTTTTGATTAAACAAACATTGATGAAAAAGGGCAAGTTTGCCTGACTCTGTGGAAAACTGACCTGTGCCACCACCTGGCATTCACTTGTGGCAGTTACTTTCTACAGTTTTCTTTTCTTTCTTTTTTTTTTTAAGATTCAAAAGATTTATTTGGAAAAAGCAACACAGGACAAAGATACCCTTATTGATCTTTTTCAGAATAGCTGAATATTCAGAATCTTTATGAAATATAGGCAGCAACTCCAATTTCACAAAACATCAATAGGTTATACAAATTAAAACTCCCATGCACTCCTTCCCCCAAATGTAGTAATCCATATTGACATCACCTTTCACTAAGTTTCTATCTTCAGGGTTACTTGCACAAAAAAATCAAAAATCATTTTTTGATTTTTTAAATGGCTGGGATTAAAGCAACCAAAGAATTATTGTTACAGCAAAGTTTAGCTAAACCATAAGAGAATACCAATAGTAACATCTTAAATTATTCAAAATGATTTCTTTGAGATAAACTACATAAATTTCACAGTACTATGGCATAGCTGTAGTTAGCTAAAGTCACAAACACATTTTAACAATCACAATGATGCATGTCATCATTACCATTCTAATCTACAGAGCTTATGAATAAAGAAAAATACAAAAACCTCAAGTTTTACAAAAGAAAAAGTTTTCAGTCTACACACATTAACAACAAAACCATCTCTTAAAAAAAATAAATTTTAAAAAAAGAACATTTCTTCCAGGTAACAGATAAAAGTGTAAAGGCATATCACTGAATTTTGTCTCTAAATAGCCAGGAACAAATGAGTTTAGTATCTACAACGCTTATTAGGACCTTCAAAATTGCCCCCTTGACTGCCTCTACCAAAGCCACCAGGAGCACCACTCACAGGACCCACACCAGTGATGGGTGCTTGAGGGGGTCTCAGAACCTGCTCTACTCCCCATAGGAGATCCCATCTGGGAAGGTGGTCCTTGAGAAAATCTATCATTGTGCACACTGCTCCATAATCTGGCATCATTGGAGTTCCCATATTTGCAGCTCCTTCTGGTCCCATGGCAGGACCAGGACCCATTGGTGGGCCAGGCATAGTTCCTCTGTTGTTCATATTCATAGCCATCATTGGAGGAGGACCTTGGTTACCAGCAGGTGCTGGGCTAAACGCATCTCCCATGTTTATTGCTCCACGGGGACCCATAGCACCCATTCTCGTTTCCTGTTCTCTATTTTCCATATAGTTTGGTTTAAAGCCTTCCTGTTGTCGCCTCAGTTCCTCCTGTTCTCTGTGTCTGATCATTTCTTCTTCACGACGACGTTGTTCCCGTTTTTGCAGCTCTTGGTTTCTGAGTTCTTCTAAGCGTCTGAGCTCTTCCTGACGTCTCGTTAGATCTTGTCTCATTAGCATTAACTGGTGTTCGAGCCTAGCTGCTTCCATTTCTGCCTCCAGTTTCTCTTTGGCTTCTCTGATGTTTCTATCAACCTGCTCACGTTGCTGCTTTTCCATTTCATCAAGAGACTTCCATCGAGATGCATACTCAAATTCAAATGTCCCAGGTTGAGCAAAACGTGGTGGCTGTTCTCTTTCCTTATGATATTGCTGAGTTTTCTGCATTAGCTTCTCTGGCAAGCCATCTTCATCATCAAACTGCTCCATAGGCTCCACAACCACTGGACGGGGAGTCGTTGTTAGCAAGAACGCCCCATCACCACATCTCTCCAGAGCCTTTTGTGCCGGAGGTTTCGCTGTAAATTCTACAAAACCTTTTCCCGTTGCTCTACCACGATCATCCACAACCACAACAGCTTTCTCTACGGGGCCAAACTGGGAAAATGCTTGCTCTAGAAGCTCATTGGAAACAACTGGAGAAAGGTTCTTGACAGTCAGAGCTGCTCCATGTGTAGCAAAGCGAATTCGCAGAGGTCTGCTCTTCAAAATGGTACCATCCAGTTCTGCTTTTGCAATTTCAGCCAGGGTTCTGGATTCCAGGCGGATGAAGCCGAAGCCGCAGTCCCGGTTGATGAAAACCTCGCTAGGCTCCCCATAGCGCTCGAAGAGCCGCTTGAAGTCCTCCTCAGTGATGTCGGTGGGCAGGTTCCCCACGAACAGGCAGCAGCGCTGCGTGTACATCTTCCCGCCCGGCTTGAGGAAGCTCTTGATGTCGATGGTGAACCCCATCTCCTCCTCCGGGCGGTCCTCCGGGGCAGCGGGGGCCGGCGGTGCCTGCTCTCCCGCCAGCGCCAGGGCCAAGGCCGCAGGCTCGCTGTAGCCCGCTGCGGACTCAAGCGTGCGAAGGCGGGCCGGGTTCTTTTCAATGAGCACTTGCTTGAGGTTTCGTCTCAACATCATCTCCGTGAACTAGCCTTGGTATCAGGCACAGGCCTAGACTTATATGGCAGGGTCTCTCCGTGTACCTATGGAAACGAAGGACGGACAGCCAGCACAGTCGGCCAGGTGGCCTAAAAGCAGCCGTGCTTCTCAGACACACAGGGATGGCAGCTCTACAGTTTTCTTAATCAAAACTGTCTAGTAACCTGTAAGGAAAAGATTAAAAATTTCAGATATTCTAAAAATTATTTATTTATTATAAAAATTATTTATTTATTACAGGGTCTCGCTACGCAGTTAGGACTCGTAATGATCCTCCTGTCTCAGGCTCCCCAGCACTGGGATTACAGGCATGTGCTACCACGTCCAGTTTTGGTGGCTGCATGGCATGTCCAGGTTCTGGGGCCTCTGGGGCCGGCTTGGCATGCCGTACTAGGGATAGAACCCAGGTCCTTGTGCTTGCTTTGAGCTGTCTCCCACATGTAACTCAGTAACCCAGGATCCTTGAAGCCACCCATACCCTATGGAATTTACATAAGCAACTTATAATGACTTGCTATGAAGAAGCATCCTTCTCCCTCTAAAGCTCACAGTTTCCACCTAAGAGCTGCCTATCTACGTCTGGTGCATGGGCATAACAATATCTTGGCAGTGCTGATTTTTGCCTCAGAGGTAGAAGTGAGAACTCAGAAGCCTCCCAGAGCCCAGCCAAAGGGGGCTGAGGGAAAGACCTCAGAGGAGAGTCCACCCCACAGGGAGCGTGCCTGGCTAACATTCACCACCCATGGGTACACACATTGGAAGCTGAGCACTTGGAGTCAGTATTGTTGGAGCCAGAGAGGATCCGCACAAGCTGCCCCTCCAGAATACAAGCTTGGCTTCTGGTGGTCTAGAAAAGACAGAAGCTGGGTGTAGAGACATGCGCCTATAATCCTAGCATTTGGGAGACTATAGCAGGAGGATCACTGAGAGTTTGAGGCTACCCTGGGGTACATGGTGAGTTCAAAACTAGTCTGAAGTAATCCCAGAACTCAGGAGGCTGAGGCAGGAGGATCACTGTGAATTCAAGGCCAGCCTGAACTACAAAGTGTGACTATGTTTCAAAAAGTCAGAAAAAGAAAGGAAAAGAATAAATACCATGATATGGTCATGTCTGCCACCAACTTCAGGATGACACTGTTGACCCTGGCCAGAGGCTCTACTCCGAGGCACACTGGGGCAGAACCTCTTGGGGTGGCCCTTGATCTTGCTCAGGCCCCTCCCTCTGTTGGGATAGAAAAACAACGGCAACAGCAGAGGGAGTAACTAGGAACACCTGAAACTCCTCAAGAACATCCTGTTTTTGTATCCCTGCTCCCAGATGCATAGCAGGTTCTCACGATTTTAGGCACACACTGTGTGTTAGTTGATACATTATGTCAATTTGGCTGACTCAGAACCGGCAGTTCTCAGCGTGGGGGCCTAGCCCTGCAGGTGGGCAGGGCTCAGGAATTGAGGAGAGCTTCCTGCCACGTTGCCCCGCTTCCTTGGAGAAGTCCCAGTCTTCTAAGGAGCTTAATCTTCGCAGCTATGCTGATCTTCGCAGTGGAGGGCCTGTCTTTGCAGTCAGCATAGAAGGAGAGAGGCTTGATGGACAGTCCATATGTCTGCAGCCAATGCCCGAGAGTCTTTCCCACCATCCCTTCTCACTGCCTCCCACCAGATTATCCAGAGATGCAGAGCTGACCCCAGGGAGGTAACAACTTCCCCTTTCCTTCTCATTCCCCGGAACCAAACAGGTCCCCCTCTTTTGTCAGACCTCCCAGATCACCTGAGAGTGTAGGTGATAGAGATGATACCGACTTCCTTACTGAAGACCCCCAAGAGTGACATCAAGGTGAGAATGAAGCTGAGAATGTTCCATCTGAACTATTCCATCCTGCTGCTGTGTTCCTTTTTGGTAGGAGTCCAGAAGTATTAGATTGAATGGGAAAGCACTTGGTGTCTCTGGGTTGGGGAGGTCACAAATTGAAAAGCCTCCTGAATTGAGTCTGATGCAGTTCATGTCTATCTGTGACAACAGAAGTTTTCTTATTCACCTTCATTTGCTGCTAAGTTGACAACTTCTCAATTCACTTACACCTCAAAAAAAAAAAAAGTTCCATCTGTCCTCAGAAGGCGGTTCAGCAGTCCTGGGGGTTCTGTCAGACCTAGCCCATGAGGACGTTCTAAGTTTGCCTTCCCCATACACTGGGATAGCAGGTCAATGTCCTGGTTATAGCTAGGCTAGTCAGCCATCATCCACTGTGGTTACCCTTTATCCTTCAAATGTTCCACAAAAGCCTTGTACACTCGTGGTCCCATACTGTGTCAGCAGCCAATGGCAACCTCAGAGACTTACAACAGATATCTTCATATACACATGGTTGCCCATCTTGGCAACTGGAACCGCAGAAAATTGGCTTGTAGACTGGGTATGGAGGTACATGCTTATGATCCCAGCTCTCGGGAGGCTGAGGCAGGAGGATCACTTGCAAGTTCAAGACTAGCCTGGTTGGGGCTGGGAAGATGGTTTAGTAGAATAAGTGCTTCCCTGGCAAGCCCAAGGGCCTGAGTTCAATCCCCGGTTTAAAAAAAAAAAAAAAAGAAGAAGAAGGAGAAGGAGAAGGAGAAGGAGAAGGAGAAGACGACGACGACGACGACGACTAGCCTGGTCTACATAGTGAGTTTAAGGCCACCCTGAACTACATGGTGAGATCCTGCCTAAAAAAAAAAAGAAGAAGAAAGGAAAGAAAGAGAAAAACAAAAAGGGAAGTAAGGTAAGTTAGGATTCAGTAAGTGACCAAAGCACAGAACAGAGTTTATGGTATACTACTGTCAGGAAAGAGAGGACTAAAAATATCTATTTGCTTATGTCTGTAAAAATAGCTACCAGGAGGATAAATAAGCAACTATAAATATAAGGTTACCTAGAGAAGGCAGGGGAAGGAGGAGGAGGTTGAAATGAAAGAATTCCATGTTACTTTTCAATATAGTTTTCTTTTTCAATATAGTTTTGAGCAGTGTGTATCTGTATTAAATATTCAAAAAGAAACCTGTATTTTATTTTATTTTTTGCTAAGACAGAATTTCATTATGTGGCTCAAGTTAGCCTTGAGCTCACTAAATAGCCCAGGCTGACCTTAAACTCACTATGATCTTCCTGCCTTAGGCTTCCAAGTGCTAGGATCATAGGGGTGTGCACCACTACATCTACGAAAACCATATTTTAATGAAAAAAAGTGTTCTGAAACTTTGGTGGCAGCTCAATAAACACAAGTCAAAAAAAAAAAAAAAAAAAGCTGGGGAGATGGCTCAGTAGAACAAGCGCTTCTCTGGCAAGCGCAAGGGCCTGAGTTCAATTCCTGGTTCTGCAAAAAATGAAATAAACACAAGTCATCCTGGTCTTTTATTCTCAGTCTATGTCTACACATACACAGAGAGGCACAAGTCTGTCTGCAGATCTGTCCCTGTTCAGTGTTAAGCTCCTGCTGTATGCTGTAGCCTGAACCATTTCTGGAGGATACAAAGTGCACAGACCATGTTGAGAGGGGGTGGAGAGACTTCATTTTATCTCAGTTTCTAAGTACACAGTGTCATGGTACAACACCCTGCCGGGCCTAGGAGGGGTGGGGAGAGACCTCCTGGGGAGAAAGCCTCCAGTGAGAGTCTTTGGTATGAGTAAAGTAAAGGGCAAAATATGAAAATTATAGGAGATTCGAAGTCCAGTGCTCATGCAGAAAATTTGACTGGAATAGATCCAGAAACAGTGGCGTATCCCTGTGGTCCCAGCCATCCTGGAAACTAAAGTAGAAGGCTCACTTAGGCCCTGGTGTTGAGGGCCAGCCTGGACAACACAGTGAAATCTCTTTTCCAAAAGTCCCCACCTTAGGGCTGGGGAGATGGCTTAGTGAAATAAGTGCTTCCCTGGCAAGCACAAGGGCCTGAGTTCAATCCCCAGTTCCACAAAAACCCCAAAAGTCCCCACCTTGTTCTAGAAGAAGCTGGACAGGCATATAGGTGCATGCAGTCGTGTGTGTTATGTGGCTGCTTTTGTGCTGCTTGCAGAGGTGAGTAGAGACTGTAGAGCCTAAAACGTTTATCATCCGGGGCCATTGTGCACTGAAAATGCTTGCTGACTATTGCTGCAGAACCCTATAAATCTCATTGCTCAAACCCAGACATCAAGCTTAGCCTGACTGCAGGGCTCAGGAAGGCCAGAACAGGAAATGGAAGTAGAACCAGGGGGAAGCGGGGCACACTTCTAAGTCCAAGTTATGTTCACATCACATCTCAGAATCAGTCACACACACACACACACACACACACACACACACACACACACCCTCCCTCTCTCTTAGTTTACAGGGTAGAGACTGGATGGAGTAAGTCCCCCTTAAAGAAGAGGAGGGGCAAACACTGGGAGTTCCAGAATCTTACCTTCCCAAAACCTAGAAGCCATTGTGGCAGCTGAGAAGGATCTCACCTGTGGTAGAAAACAACCCAGGGCCAGGGAGATGGCTCAGTGGAATAAGCGCTACCCTGGCAAATGCAAGGGCCTGAATTCAATCCCTGGTTCTGAGAGAGAGAGAAGAGAGAGAGAGAGAG